CTGCGGAGGGGCTGGGGGGGGAGCGAGGGGGAGGTGGTTGAAGGGGAACTGGGACACACAAATAAATACACCCAAATAAAAAGATTCCACATATTTTCCCATATTTTCTGGGTTTTTGTCTTCCCCCCCAATTCCCATATTTTCCCATATTTTCCTGGGAATCGAGGATTAATTGTGTCTGTGTTTTTTTCCCTCCTGAGTGGTGGTGGGACGCAGGCATGGCGGGAGATCCGCGAGCTCTCGCGTCCATCGCTGGGCCTTCCATCCCCATCCTGTAGAGGGATGCAAGGCAGGCGGCTGGGGGGTCCTGCCTCGCTTCCCTTGAAAGGGGAGGGGGGAGGCGGGAGGAGGGTTTGGGAGGAGCCAGCCTTCGAGCTTCGACCGGCTGCAGAAACGAGCGGGAGCTATCCTGGCGCCGACTTGCAACTCGGCTCAAGCCGAGGTCAAGTTGGCGCGAATCGCAGTGGCAAGGGGCAGCTGGCGGGCCTGGGGGCTGCTGGCGCCCTCGGCAAACGACGCCATTGTGCTCGTCTCGCCCGCGTTCCCCTAAACATACTCCTGCTTTGGGCGCCGGCTGGCGCAACTCATCCCTTCCTCGGGCGGCCGCTGCTTGGTGACTGGGCTCTCTGTCCAAGCACTAGACTGCGGCTGCTCCCGGGGGGGCGATGCCGCGCACTGGGGAGTTCCGCCGGCACGAATCTACAGAGCTTCGGGACCGCGGTCCGCTGGAGGAAGATGATGATGTTGAGGAAAAGGCGGAGGAGGTGGAAAGGGATGGGGGGGGAACGAGAAGGGGAACTCTGGCGGGAGCAAGGATGCTGGAAGTGGGATCGAAAGAGAAGGAGGAGAAGGAGGAGGAGGAGGCAAGGATTAGTGTCTCGGATGTCACACTTGGGGGTTGGGCGCGCCTCCCACACCTCGGCCAACAAGGTGGCGGGGGCCTGGTCGGTGCTGGAGCGCCTGATGTCGGCCCAAGCCGGAGGATGGCGAAGAGCTTGAATGCTGGAGCGGAGGCAGGAGGGATGAGGAGAGAGGGCGAGAAGGAGTGAGGAAGGGAGAAATACTGGGAGGAGGACGAAGGACGATGAGGAGGAGGAGGAGGAGGGACGGGGGGAGGAAACGAGAAATAACAGGATGATGAGGAGGAGGAGAAGTCTATAGCTTAAATGCAATTGCTGGCGTCCATTCCAAGACGTCTCTTTCAACACCGCTGAATAGCCATCCCTTGGGCTCGCCAATTGCGACATTGGAATTGTCAACATAATTCGGACGTGTGTGTATAGCCATTTGTATATATGTAACGATTTGCTTATATGCATGGTTCTGCATGTATGCGTGTGTGCATCTATGCATGCATGCATGTACAATGTAAGTATGTATGTATGCATGTATGTATGCATACATATGCGTGTATGTATGCATGCATGTACATACATGTAAATAATGTTTGTACGGGTGTGCGAATGTGTGTATGCATGTGTGTGTGTGTGTTGCCTGTTTATGTTTAGACGTCCATACATGTACGCGTGTATGTACGTACGCATGTATGCATATATACATAGATGCAGATGTGCATGTATGGATGTATGCATGGATGCATGCATGTCTACATGTATGTATGCATGCATGCATGTATGCATGCATATATGCATGCGTGCCTGTCTGTCTGCCTGCCTGCATATATGCGTGCATGCATGCATGTAAGTATGCATGGATGCATGCATATGTGTATGTGTGTATGCATGCATGCATGCATGTATGTATGTATGGATGGATGTGTACGTACATGCATGCACGCATCCTGTCACGCACGCACGCACGCACGCACACACTCATGTAGGTATAGTTGTACACAGGCACGCTCGTACGCGCGTGCGTATGCAGGTACGTACACGCGTACGCACATACGTACATACGTACGTACATACGTATGTATATACGCATACATGATCCATACATGCATGTATGCATGTATGGGCCAGAGACGTGCTATCATCTCCAATCAAACTTTAAACATGTTTCTGGTTCGCGCGCGCGTGGCGGCCTTTGGGTGTCCACGGACAAAACATATCCAGGCAAAGTCCCGGCAAGTCCTGGCAAGGTCCTGGCAGGGTCAGGTCAGAGATACTGGAACTCCTGGGCGCGGCCTCGGGGGCCCCCGGAGCGCCCCAATGAGGCGCCAAATGGGTGGCAGGCCCCACGGCCTCAGGCCAAGAGCGTTCCAAGATGGCCCACGCTGGTCCGAAGACAGCCCAAGGCCGCACAAGACGCTCCAGGAAGGTTTCAAGAGGACTTCGAGAGGTCCCGGAAACTACAAACATATTGATGTTGCGCAAGTTTTCGGACGATGTTGGCGGTACCGGGTTTTCGAGCTGCCGACCGCCCTGGGCGGCTTAAGATGCCTCAAGATCGCTCCAAGACGGCCCAAAAAGCCTCCAGGAGACCACCAAATGGCCCAAGATGGCTCTAAGACGGCCCAAGAGGCCTCCAAGACGGCCCCAGGATGGTCCCAAGAGGGGGCCCAGAGGTGGAACCCGAATGGACATTTCGAGCTCTCGGCACAAAGAGGCGCCCAGGAAGCCCCGAGGCCCCCAAGAGCCCTCCAAGAGGCCCCGAGAGGCTCCCTAGACCCCCAACAGGACCCCAGGAAGCCCCACGAGGTCCCCAAGAAGCTCCCAAGAGGCTCCCCAGAAGCCTCAAAACTGTTCCCTAGAGGCCCCCGAGAACCCTCCGAAGAGACCCCAAGAAGCATCCATGAGGACTCGGACCCACAACCCAGGTACGTCTCGAAACTCTGCTAGAGCTCTCTCCAGCCATCTTAGCGCCTGGGGCAGTCTATCGGCTCTTTTCGACAAAATGGACGCCACATCTGAAAAGATCTCCTCGAGTACGTTCCTGCCTGCCCTACCGTTTCCCCTGGGCACAAGCACACCACCACGCAGCCATAGTGATGCGAAACGGGCTGGCGGAATGGGCGAAGCGATTAAATACATGCGCATGCATTCCTTCATCCTATAAGATGATGACATCCGGATTCCCCCCCCCGCCAGATTTGCCCCCCCATCCTACTCCCCAGCGCCGCCCCCCCCCCCCCCCTCCAGAGCCCAGACGACGGCCCACAACGACGCCCCAAACGGCCCAGGATTACTGGAGGTCCCCCCCGGGACGCATACGGGCTTCCGAAACTCTCGGGGATAGCCCCAGATTGCCTCCACACAGCTCCAGAAGCTCATCGGACTCCTCGGAAAAGGCACCAGGAGGATCCCCAAGACGGCGCCAAGAAGCAGCACCCATTGATTTTCCAATGATTTTCTCTAACAACGTTCGCGATCTCGTTGTTCTATCTTTCGACCGCTCAAGACGGCCCAAGAGGCCCCAAATATCGCAGCAAAACGGCCGAAGGAGACCCCAATAGAGCCCCAAGATGGCCCGAAAGGGTCTCCAAACGCAACCAAGAGAGGCACACAATTACGCTACCGAGGAGCCCCACATACTTCACATTTTTTCTGGTGTGATGATAACTGTCGTGCAACATGCCTGAATGATACTGGTAGCCGCTGCCCCGTTGATGCCGTCGGTAATACCGGCCGCGCCCTGGGAGCGCCTTGCACGGACAGCGAACCCACCCCCCTCGCGCACCCCATCTACTGACGAGAAAATGCCACACATGCTAGCCTGTGAGCCATGGCCCGCATAGCGTCCCCACTCAGGGACCACCCCTTGCGCACCCCATCAGGTGTCGAGAAAGTGCTACGCCTGCTAGCTGGTGAGCCATGGCCCGCAGAGCGCCCCCCCACCTCGGATGCTTGTTCGAGGATGTCTCGAGCGCCGGTAGATTGACGAATCACAAGACCACGCGGTAGCCCCTGGTCCCAAAACGGTGCGGTGACATTTCAGGGATTTCGTGGCCGCCCTGTTCTGGAACCCGTCCTGGCCAGTGCCCGCCTCGCCCGTCACGGTCGCCAATCGCTGCCGCGCTCCGCGTCGTTGACCCCCCTGGGTCGGAGTCGGGTAAACACGGCGCGGCCCCCCGACAGGAGCCACTGGATGAATTTTAGGCGGCGTTCTGATATGATCCAACATGTTGAATACGCCGCGTTACAAGTTACAGGTGCGGTGTTCGCAACGCAGGGGTTGGCATCTGTCGGGCGGCGTATGCGCGACAACAGGACGAGGGAGGCCAAACGCTAGATCGCAGCATGAGGTGTATCATTTCGCCATTCAAGCCTTCGCCCTCCCCCCCCCCTGACCGGCGCCGCGCACGCCGTGGTGCAACAGGTTCGTGGCCACCTGTTCGTCGCAATGTTCGGTTGCGCGCGTCCACGAAAAAATCGGCAGCTCAGTGCCGCAGGCGTTTTGGAGCGGTGATGTCTTTCTCGCGCAGGTGCCACGGTGGGCTTTCAGGGCGTAGCCGCCGCTACAGCAGAGGGCGAGGTATTGCAGCACAAATGGTAACATATTGTCTCGGGACTTTCTGATTTGCTGTGGCTCCTCTTGTCGTTCGCGGGTGCAGGATGGGATTCGCGCGAACCTCGCCGCGGACCATTTTGGAGGGGCCTCGAGTGGAAACCTTTCTTTCTTTCGGGCGTCTCATGCCGCGTGCTATGACAGGCCTGCAGCTACAAAGTCCAGCGATACTGTTAAATCACACGACAACGCTTGGCGAACTGGGGATGGGCAAGTAAGTTTGGCGGGATGCGCGATGCAGCCGTCTAGCGCGACGGTCTCAGCTGTAAAAGGAGACGTTGGCGAAGCGAAAAACACTCCCCAGAAGGCGACTGGGAAGGCATGTCGACGACCTTCCCTGATGACGACAGCTTCAATGACCCATGCTGCTGCTGAGCAGGAGTCTCGGCGCGCGGCGCCATCTAAATGGCATGCGAGATTGGCATCGCAACGCGTTATCCGCGACGCGCTGGACTGCCAGGAGCGAAGGCGCATCCGCGAGAGGAGCATGTCCGCAAGCCACTGCAGCTAAAAGTTGGCAGTCCACCGCTCAA